TGCTCTGGAGACGAGAGCACCGTTTTCACCCCCCTTCCTCCATTCCAGTCCATCACAGTTTGTCAGATTACACCTTGAATATTGTGTCTGGTTCTGGGGACATTTTAAGAAGGATTCAAAGCAACTACAACAGGTTCAGAGAAGGACGGCAAGGGTGAACAGAGGATTAAAAATTAAGTCCTGTGAAGGAACTGGGAATGCTTATCCTAGAGAAGAGTCTGTGATACGATAGCAGTCCTCAAGTACTTGAAAAGGAGGGAGGATGTATGTATGTGCATTCATGAGTTTGTATGCCACTCTTCAAAACAAGAGTTCTGTACACAGAAGAAAGTCAGCACTTGATTTCTGTTGTTCCAAAGGGCAGGAAATAGAATTGTGGATTTAAGTTTCCAGGAAAGCCGATTCCTCTTGAGTTTTAGGGAACATTTTCCAACACTAAGGGCAGTTCAACAGTGGAATCAGTTTCCCAGAGGTAGGTTCCTCATACAAGCTAGATAGCTATCAGTTACAGATGCTTTACTCTGGATCCATTCATGGAACAGAGGATTGGGTTTGATGGCCTAACTAGGTCTTTCCAGTTTTGTAATTCTATGAAATACTAAGGCTATATTCTTTACAGAGTTGTATGGGAGCACATCCCCCTGAATTCAGTGAAACTTGCTGTGTGTAACTTGGAAATGTGCCTAGCCTTGAAAAAGTTCTAGAAATTGTACTTCACGGTTTCCATTGTGAACATAGCTATTTCTCCATTTCTTAAAATGTTGATTTTTAAATTATGTTTTAAGAATTTTATAGCAAACACTGTGATACAGCATTTATTTTCAAATAGTACCATGTTCACCAACCAAAATACCCAGATTCTATTTCCTTTGTAGGATTTTCTTTGTTTTCATTGTTACTATCATCCTTCAGTTCTGTTCCAGAATAATTAATCTAATGAAGTCTTTTTTTCTCATTTGATATCTGTGCCCCCCCCCAACTTATAAGGTTTATTTCTTCATGTTAGTTTGCTAAGAAAGGCATAGACTGAACTAGAATAAAAAGGGCAAGCCTATTTCATGTATCTTATAAAGAGTACAGAAAGTTCAAAATAACATACTAAAGTGCTTATTTAGCTATTAAATTGAAATGTGAGGTTCTAGGAATTTCAAAGAATGGGGATGGACCTGTGACTTTTCATAAGATCTGCTGCTGAGTTGTACTTAAAGTTCTACCAGACTTGTAGAATTCCAGAACTGTTCCTGGATTTTCATTGGTTTAACAGGAATGCCATATTGAACCAGAATAGCTATTGTCCGGTTGCCATTGCCCAAAGTCATTGACTTTAGACAGTCAACATGGAGGTTTTTGTAAATGGGAAGAGAGCTGCTGATTCCTTCATATGTGTCCCATATTCAAGTCACTCTTTTAAACATTTCTCTGGGATTCTGAAAGGCCTTGCCCCATGTAAAGGAGGTTGGGACTCCTGTTGGTCAGTCAACACAATAACTCTCTGAAAATTAAATAGAATAGAACCAAACTTGATGTGAGGGGATAAGCCAGCAAAATAAAGATTGAGCTTGGAAATGGGATGGATCAAACTGGGGACTGTGGAGAAAAAAAAATAACAATGATCCCAAGCTTCTCTATGGGAGAGGCAATTTGGAAGTGGCTCAGAATCTTGCTGACTTCTCCATTCTAACGGAGCTTTCAACTCACAATAAATATACCTTGTGATGAAATGGTTTGTTGCTCTGGTAGAACCCAAAGAGTTAACGGCTATTTCTTTATAAGTCAAAATGTTCAGAGAACTGTTGGGGGGAAGCGGGAGACAAAATAAAAAGAGGAAAAGAAACAGAGTAACTGATACATAGACAACACAAGATACCAGTAACTCCTTAGGACAAACGAAACACATGTTTTGTAATTAAAGATGGAGGACTTTTACTAAAGTGTTTGATTAAAGGGAAACAACTTATCATATGCTTTCTGTTCAGGCAACGTTATTGTTAAGTGAAATGCTAACTGTTCAAAACCAAATGATCCTGGGACTAAATGAGAGGCAGAATATAGTACGCTCCTCCCCAGTGTCTAAGATATGTACTACCAAGAAAAGAGCTGAAGAGAAGAGAGAATCCTAAAGAAGTTTATCATTTTTTTTTTATGATGGCAATGAGATTTTAAAGTACAGACATTCGATCGATGATCAGTACAGTAAGACTTTACACTATATTTACCCCAGAAATAGATATGAAAGAAACTATGTCACTTTTATCCTAATAAACTGGTTAGTCACATCTAGTTTATCAACTAATGTAACATTAGCAATAAAAGAAAAGCTGTAATCTAGAGAATCTTCTGTGCCTTTATTGTCATATTAAAAAACTCCTGCTAAACTTCAGAGGAACCAAAGGATTTTAAAAAACACTGTTTTAAAAATACAGGCTGAAAATGAACTTGGGCAAAGACCTGCCTTCCAGCTGTATATAAAATACAAGGTATGGGAGAGAAAATATAACTCAAATATATATAGAATTCCTCACGTTGCTAATTTCAATGATATAGAATAGTAGGTTAAGAATCATTAATAACTTTTTCACCAGAATATTTTTTTTTAATTCCAGGTGTGGGCATTGCCAGCGTCTCCAGCCAACTTGGAATGATCTTGCAGACAAGTACAACAACATGGATAATCCACAGGTCTATGTTGTAAAGGTGGATTGCACTACAGATACTCCATTGTGTTCTGAATTTGGTGTCAGGGGATACCCAACGTATGTGTAAAGGAATAATAATGACTTTATGTGTTTTCCCTCAACTCTTATCAGTTTGAAGAGAGTTTTTGAATATTTGTTTTGTAAATACATTACATTCTATATTTGTATTAATTCCTTCCCCTTCTGTGAATATGCCATTTGAGTAGCAATAGCTTATGCAACAGTGAAACAAGAGTAGCTTTTAAAAGTCCATAATATCTGTTGCTTTAATTATTTGCTCATGGGAGTAAAAGCAGTATGGCAATATAAGATGAGTGTGCAATATTTTCATTACTGGCCCTAGATTATATTGCAGAGTATTGTAAACAAATGTGTTTCTATCTGGGTAGGCACAGCTGTGCAAATATACCACAACAGTTTTATGGCTAACAGAAAGTAGATGAATTGCTCTAATAGACTAGGATAAAAAAGTTTTAACCATTTTCTTACATTAAGATATTGTTTACTGCTAAATTAAGAACAAAATAGTGGGAAGCCAGGAAGTTTAGGGTGTAATTCCAAAGATCAGTCTAAGGGTCTTAGCAGGGACTGACTGTTAGAATCAGCAGAGGATAGTTCCTCTCTGAAGAGCCCCCCTCTTTCGTGGGACTTTCATAAGCTCATCCTGGCCAGACTGCATTTAGTGACCTCAGATGTTTTCCATTCTGCATTTATAGTTAATTATCCACTATTTTATTAGCAAACCACAGGTACAAGGATTTAACTTGACATGTAGTTGCAGAGCACACTTAGTTCTTGAGATCTGTTTTTTAATCTATTATTTTTATAATCGTTAATATAAGAATGATGGCATATAATTTCCTAATTGTGGTAGTAGTTTTTCACCTAGGGAGTTAACAGCTTAACTTCCAGTTTGGCTACCTTGCAAGCCAAATACCAGAGCAGATCTGGTTTGTCTCTGCCATGTTTCTTGGGGCACTTTATTCCCAATTTTTTACATTTTCTGAGAAAGAAAGAAACACTTTAAAGGGAGCTGCAAAACTGATCCAAAGTCTGGGAAGAAAGGGGAAAGCAGGTACTTTAATAACATCATAGGCACCCATCATTTTCCCTACAAACTAGAAGCCTGAATAATTGGGTCATTTAATAGCTTTGTTAAGAACAGAAGAATATATACTGTATGTTTTAGGGGCAAAGAAAGTTTACTGATAGTGCCTCCATGAGAATTAACTTGGCCTTTGTCTTCACTTTAAAAGAGCTTTTGAAAATCTACAGAACAATGGCAGAAGTTTAAATTTGGAAACTCAAAGACTATGCTATTAAAATCAATGGAAATTTTAAAATTAATATTAAGAAACCATTGTGAGCAATGTTTTTTGAGATCTGATATAATGTGATGATTGTTTTAAAAATGTTTCAAGTTTAAATGACTGTGAACCTATTTCCTTATTGTCGTCTTGCATTTGCAGTCTAAAACTACTTAGACCAGGCCAAGAAGCTGCAAAATATCAGGGACCCAGAGACTTTCAGTCACTAGAGAACTGGATGTTGCAGACATTAAAAGAGGCATCTGCTGTAAGTAATCAGAAACAGTCCTTATTCAGGAGACAATATACATTTGAATTGTTAAGCCAGCAGAGCAGTGTTTAGGTTTCTGTAGCAGAATTTTATGAGCCCAGGAATCTTGTCTTTTTGGAGGTGTGAGAAGAATATTGAAGGAGAAATTAGTTTGGCTAAAATTCAGGGGAAACGAAACACAGGGTTTGTTGTCTTTATGACAACCCTGTAAATATTGATAATATTTATTATATCTGGAATTTTAAAAAGAAAAATACAATGCTGCTAAAACTGAAGGAAAACAATTAGGGGACCACAAATAGCATTTTGTTTTGAGCCACTGGTGGCAGGAGGGGCTTAGAAATTGAAATAAATAAAATTTGACCCATTGTTTTCTTTATTGGACCAACGAGAAATTACTTTTATGTATGCATGAAGAAACTACTCCTCAGAGGAGCTTCTTCTACTTTCAGCCTTTCTTCATTTTTCTTGAAATATGGCTGTTTCTGAATTTTAACTTAGGAAGATTTCCCCAACCTCACTGCCTGTAGCTGTGCTTGTCCAAGCTGGTCAGGGAATTCTGGGTGATGTGGTCCCAGGACATCCATTTGTGGATTGATGCTGTAGGGGAGGGGATTTCTTCACTTACAATCATGCCAAAATGTTTGTGTTTTTGTTGGGGGAGATACATACACACAAACACATATATATATACTACATACACATAAAGAAGTTAAATTTGGTTAGCTAGTATGAATTAATATGTTTATAGTAAGATAATTTACTAAAATAAGACTTAACCAAAAAATTGAATAATTGTCATGTTTGTAGTTAACACGGATAGCTGTTACAATTTTACTACGTAGATATAAATATAATTAACTCTTTTTGAGGCTTAATCGTGCTTTTCTGTGTGTTTGTTCTTTTGCTTGGTGTTGCTATATATAAGGAGCAAGAACCTGAATTGGAGCCACCGAAAGCATCTGATGCAAAGCAAGGCCTTTATGAGCTCTCAGCAGCTAATTTCAAGCAGCATGTAGCGGAAGGTAATGTGATCACTGATACTGAACATTCTTTTCAACGTTTCATGTTAAAGAAGTTTTGATTTATAGCATCTCATAATGAAAAAATTTGGACCAGCCAGCAGTTCAACGTAGGCTTTCCACAATCTGATTAACACCCTGATTGTAGCAGCTGTTCCATTATTTTCTGCCAAAGACTATTACATTCCATGAGTTGTGCTGACCTTTGGTTTAGTTTAAGCTCAACACGGTAGTGATGAGGAATCCTACTCATTTCTCAGCTTTAGGCTGGAGTGGAAAATTCTGCAGTGAGAGTGGCAGAGGTATTCTGGAGGGGTTTTCTACTTTATTAAATGCATGCTGCTCAACTCCCAGCAATTCTGGGCAGCTCACAACAATCAAAACGAAGAAACTGCAATAAAACCAAGAAAAGGAGGATAAAAGATGGCAAGAATGATGGACCGGATGGAATGAACAGGGGGTCTCACTCTCCCTGCCTCAAACTCAGAAAGCACCCAGAACAGCAGGAGGGCAAGGGATGTATTGCAGTGCAAGTTCCATCCCTTTCTGTGTGCATCTCAATGTAAAACACCCCCCAAAAGAGCTGGACTTTCAGCAGGAGAGCCTGCAGACATCACTGACCCAGTCTTTGCTCTCCAAGAACAAGGGTGGAAGTTCTCTGGGCACGGGAAGTGAAGACAGTTCAACAGCACCAAGAATGAGCTTCTGATTGATCTTCTGGTATTATAAACACATGTCTCTAATGATACCCATGGCGTATGATGGGGATGAGCTCAGGCTGCTAATGATTGTGAGGAAGAGATCAGAAGTGTCCAAATTCAATTAACATGTTTTGCCACAAGCTTAGCCTACCCTGGCACGAGAGTTTACATAATCCCAGTTCGCTTAAGAGAGCCAGTGTAGTGCAGTGGTTAAGGTGTTAGGCTAGGCCTGAGGAGACCGAGGTTCTAGTCCACCCACAGTCATGGGAACTCACTGGGTTATTTGGGGCAGTCTCTCTCTCTCAGCCCAGTCTACCTCATAGGATGGTACTCTGGGAAAAAATAGGAGGAGGGAACATTCTGTATGCCATTTTGAGCTTCCAAATAAAAGGTGAGATAAAAATCTGATAAATGAATAACTCCTAAACAGCACGGCCAATGGAGGGCATCAGGTTGGAGAAAGCTGCTTTAACAAGTTGCCTGAGCCATAAAAGGCTAATGTTAATTGTGGCTGTTTAAACAAGGGAGCCTCAAGGCCCCTCAGGGAACTGGCTTTACTTTTGGTAAGATAAAATGCACTTTTTCTAAGCTGGCAATGAGAATTTGAGAACTAAGTTTTTTTCACGAGGAGGAGGAGAATGGCAAGATATGAAAGCTCCAGGCACACTACAATTTAATTTTTGTTCAGTCTGATACATTCCTAATATCATATATTATCTGAAGCCAGGTATTCAGTATACCGTATTTTTCTGTCTATAAGACGATACTTTTTTCTAAAATCGTTACACTAAAAATTGAAGGGCATCTTATGCAAGGAAGTAAGCTGAAGAGAGAACCATGCGGCTGTGAAACTGCCCATACTTTGTTTCTGCAAACAGGCTTCCTCCGATCACTAGCCTCCAATCACGAGTGAAATAGCTTGTCTCCCAAACAGACTTCCTCCAATCACGAGCCTTATGTAACTCATGTCAGGGCATCTTATGCAAGGAAGTAAGCTGAAGAGAGAACCATGCGGCTGTGAAACTGCCCATACTTTGTTTCTGCAAACAGGCTTCCTCCGATCACTAGCCTCCAATCACGAGTGAAATAGCTTGTCTCCCAAACAGACTTCCTCCAATCACGAGCCTTATGTAACTCATGTCAGCTGATGCTGAACAAACCAATTGGAGGAAGTCTATTTGGAGAGACAAGCTATTTCACTCGTGACTGGAAGCTAGTGATAGGAGGAA